GAGCAATTAATATCTTACCTGTCGTAGATAGCTTTTTGAACAACTTCAGTTTGGAGATAAATATTTTTTTAATCTGGTCAATCTTTGTCAATCTGAAGATTTTTAAGCAAATTATTTTTAATCAAGTTTTGGATCTGGTACTAACTGTTCATGTTGCAGCACCCATACAGCTGGGTTTTAAAATAATCTTTCTAATTACCTCAAGAGGATGGGAATCTCACGGTATAATTATGGAAATGTTTCTGTCAAATTCATGATCTGACCCTTCAGCAAACATTGGGAGGAATCACAGGAAGAGCTAAAATGAACGTTTAGTAAAGGTATTGTCTCACAGCAACTGCTGGTGATAAATTGCGAGCAGCATTTGGTAGAAAGTCTCCAAAATGTCCTGAAATGTTTGCAAAGAGTCTCAGTTTTCTCACACGAGCCACATGGCCTTGTTCTCGTGGTGCTGGAGTCGCTGATCTCAAACTTTTCTAAACTTTCCTCAAAATAGACTCAGACTCAGACATCTGTGGAGTTCATCTTAAACTATTGTGAGACCTTTCTTTATTTTGTTTCTGTAATTTTACAGCTTTAGAGCTTTTCTTTTTTAATATATAACTGATGCAAATTTATTGCCGCCAATTTTGTCAAGAGTTTAAGCAAACGGGTCATCTGACAGGATTCCAAGTAGAAAAATTGTGTATTTTGACATAAATTTGTGTCTCCAGCTAGCCCCCAACACTTGTGAGTTACCTTTAGGTACATTCACAGAACATTCCCCAAACGTTCCTCATGCTAGCTGGGTATTCTCTGTTTTAGGTTGTATTTAGATGTGAACCATCTCTGGAAAGTTTAGCGTTTTTCCAACGATGGTTGTTAGAACAGTTACAGGCGTACACAGTAATGTTGTGCTCGTCGAATCCACTATCGTCTCCATGCCAGGTCACTATTTAAACAGCATGTGGATGCACGCAGACGCTTCAGTTTTGAGCATAAGAACAGTGACATCTGAAATGGTTAATAATCGAACCTTGGTTTGGATCAAGGATGAGGTTTGGTTGCTCCCACATGTTGAAAAAGGACGAGCAGGACAAACAGCACTCTGATATCTGCCATTGTTGCTGTTCTTCATCTACTCGAAGATCTATCGACTGCCTGCAGCCGGTCATAATGTTCATGCGTGACTTCACAGTTCACACCGATGTCGGCCGATCCTACAAACCTCCAGTCTGTCAGATTAAAAAGGCCGCTGTTGTTGTGTACACAACCGGCCAAAATGCAGCAGAAACGCCACGTGTCATTCATAAACTCGCTCACTTGATGACGTCATGATGGATTACTGTCCACCTTCACTGTCCATTTTTAAAACTCTTTTAAAAACACATTTTTACTCCCTGGCTTTTAGCACAGACTAAATTTGCTCTGCACGGTTTTATTTTTATGTGATTTATATTTTCTTGATTTTATATGTGCAACATTTTGTTGCAGCTGTGGTTGTTTTAAAGGGCTTTATAAATAAAGTATTATTATTATTAGAGGTTATAGCACTAGTCCTGGGTCGAGACTGGTATCTTTCTGTGTGCAGTTTGCATCTTTTTTTGCATTTGCATGTCTGAAAACTGAGAGATTGTTTTGACCGAACAGACTGGCAGGTTTTCAGAGAAGCTGCTGAAAATGGAGGTTCGCTTGATCTTGACCAATACACATCCTCAGTACTGGGTTACATTAGTACATGTACTGACACCGTCTCCACTATCAGAAATGTTAAAAGCTACCCAAACAGAAAACCTTGGCTGAATGCAGAGGTGCGTACCCTGCTGGAAGCCAGGAACACTGCCTTCAGGTCTGGAAACTCAGAGGAGCTGAGTAGGACAAGAAAAGAGCTGGTTGCTGGTATTAAGAGGGCCAAGGCCACATATGCAAAGAGGATCGAGGGTCAATTCATCTCACAAGACCCTCGGAGCATGTGGAGGGGCATTAAGTGCATAACAGATTATAAAGGAAGGAGTGAACAATGTCCCAAAGACCCATCTCTGCCTGATGCCCTCAACAAGTTCTATGCACGCTTTGAAGACCCGAACAGACCACCCAGCACCAGACTCACCTCACCACCGGATGAAGAGCATCTCAGCGTGACCTCAGCAGAAGTAAGGAGTACCTTCAGGAGGATTAATCCGCACAAAGCAACTGGCCCAGACAACATCCCCGGAAAAGTGTTGAAGGAATGTGCTGATCAGCTCTGTGAGGTGCTGGCAGACATCTTTAACACCTCACTTACCCTGGAGACAGTTCCCACCTGCCTGAAGACTGCCACCATCATCCCAGTCCCAAAAAGCTCTACAGTGACTGGTCTGAATGACTATCGGCCAGTGGCCCTCACCCCGATAGTCGCTAAATGCTTCGAAAAACTGGTCATGACTCACATCAAAACAACCATCAACATCAACGAGGACCCTCATCAGTACGCATACCGTGAGAACCGATCAACAGAGGATGCAATCTCCTCTGTGGTCCACACTGCACTCAACCACCTGGAGCAGAAAAACTCTTACGTCCGTATGCTCTTTGTGGACTTCACATCCGCCTTCAACACCATGATCCCCCAAACCCTGATGGACAAACTATCCACACTAGGACTAAGCCCCTCCATCTGCAACTGGGTACTAGACTTTTTAACAAACAGACCACAGTTAGTGAGGATCCACAACCTCTCCTCCTCCACCATAACCCTCAGCACTGGCTCTCCTCAGGGATGTGTGTTGAGCCCCCTCCTGTTTACTCTGCTCACATATGATTGTGCAGCTACCCATCCAGGCTGTCACATTGTAAAGTTTGCAGATGATACAGCGGTGGTGGGATGCATCACAAACAATGATGAGTCCAGCTACAGGCAGGAGGTGGAACACCTGGAGAGCTGGTGCAGAGAGAATAACCTTCACATCAATGTGAAGAAGACAAAGGAGATGATTGTGGACTTCAGAAGGAACAAAAACACCTACACCCCCCTGAACATAAGAGGATCTGCGGTGGAAGTGGTCTCCAGCTACAAGTACTTGGGTGTACACATGAATGACAACCTCAGCTGGAGCAACAACACCACCAGCCTGATCAAGAAAGCTCATCAGAGACTCTACTTCCTCAGACGGCTGAGGCGAGCTGGTCTGGGAAGCTCAGTCCTCACCTCCTTCTACAGGTGTGCAGTGGAGAGCATCCTGTGCTCGAGCATCAATGTGTGGCATGGAGGCTGCACAGCTGCAGAAAGAAAAGCTTTGCAGAGAGTGGTGAAGGCTGCACAGAAATCTGTTGGAGTCAGTCTCCCCACCATCACAGACATCTACACCTCCAGATGCAGGAAGAGGGCCACCTGCATCATGAAGGACCCCACCCACCCAGCACACACACTTTTTGCCCCACTCCCCTCAGGAAGGAGGTTAAGGAGCATTAAGTGTAGAACCACTAGACTGAGGAACAGCTTCTACCCTGAGGCTGTTAGACTCATGAATCTCTAACTAGAATAATCACTGTGAAAAACCATATCATGTTGCTGCTGATCTGTTTCATGTTGCTGCTGATCTGTTTCATGTTGCTGCTGATCTGTTTCAATGTTGATGTGTTCATGCGTGCACATCTGCTCACAGACTCATGTTCATGTTTGTGCTGATGTTCAATGTTTTATGTTATGAGTGCTTAGTGTATATTTAGTTGATGTTTTTCTTAGTTCATATCTTAGATGTTACTGTTTTTCTTATACATTTTATTGTTGGATGTAACTGGGACCCTATGTACATAATTTCGCTCCACCACATGTACCACATGAGGTGCGAATGACAATAAAGAAACTCTGACTCTGACTCTGACTCTGACTCTGAAAACATGCTCCTTTAGACTGCCTTCAGGCCCAGGCCCTACTTTGAAGAAGACCTCTGTGATCTCGGTGGTATTTGTCAGATAAATAAAGGTTAAATTAAAAATAAATGAATAAGCAGTGTTTTGTAAACAGGGCTTCGACTGAGCAAATCCTTTGGATGAAGGACGAAACGTTTCAACAAAAACAGAATCCGTCCAGAGGACCTGATTTAACTTTGTTGGATATTTTTTTAACCTGGATTATTGGGCATGAACTTTGATGTTTTGAACCACTTTGGCTATGGCTGCCTCAGAGGAGTCGACAGGGGAGAGAGAGGACTCCACAAATCATCTTATAGGGGTGCACAGATTGCAGTTTTCTGGCCGATAACTGATCCCTAAAAAGTTTGATCTGCCAATTCTGATTTTGTTTTATAAGCGACGCTGTCAGGTGTTGTAAGGTCACAATGCACCTTCAAATTGAAAAACGTACCCTTGAAAAATATCCTAGAAACAATACAAACGTGTTTTAACTGGCCATGAGGTAGTGCTCTGAAATATAAATGAAATTTAGACAATTGTTGTTAAAACTATAAAAAAAATCGGTCAAATCGGTTTCTCATGTAAGTATCGGCCTATCTCAGATTCCTCAAAATTAAGGAAATCGGGGCCAATAAATCGGTGCCCCCCTACTTATGTGAGTAAGCTACTTTCTGAGTTTGTTGTAACTTCTCGGACTGAAGAAGTCCTTTGGATGAAAGACGAAACGTTTTAACAAAAAAAGAAACCGTCCAGAGGACCTGACTTAATTTTGCTCAATCTCAGTGGTTTACACACAGCGGACAAAATTAATCCAAATTCCTCTGAATAATGCTAAAAATAACAGGAAGCTGGCTGTTCTGTGGTAAACCTTCACAGATGTTGAACCTGAGCAAAGCAGATGTTCACAGCAGACATTGTTACACTGCACAACATGTGGATGCTGTTCTGTGACCTGCCTGTTTAATCCCCCGGAGCTGTCAGATGATAATAATCTGCTCCTGCTCTGGCTGTGATTGGTGCAGAGAGCCGGTGGGCGGAGCTTAAATTCGCAGGTCAGTTTTCTTCACTTAGGAGTAAAAGAGCGTCACGCGCGCAGCAACTCCGTTTCACAGTGCCGTTAATGTCGGAGTCCGCTCGATTTGTGTGGATTTAAAACTCTTTTTCACTCCTCGTTTTTGTCACGGAAGGAGTTTTGTGCTTCTCTTCAGCTCGTCTGGTAAGAGTTTTGTCGTGTCCTGTCTCTCTGTAACACACAGACGCGTGTTAGCTAAAAGTTTCACGGTTAGTCAACGTCAGTGCTGCTGCGTGCACGTGAGGAGGAAACCTGTTGTGTGTCCCCTGGTGGGGTCAAGCAGCTGCTCCTTGCATCCAGACCTCTTTAACGCCTGGTGTTTTCTTTCTAAGCAACTTTCTCCTCTTGTGATGATTCTGCCTTTACTCACATAACTCTGTAAACCAAACCCCAGTGTGACCCCTGGATTAAACATCACCTTTTCTAATTTTAACAAGGATTTCCTGTGAAGTCTGTGGACCAAAATCTCTGATGGACCACTGAAGAAGCCATGCTGGTCCGTTTTTCTTACTGTAAAAGTTTTCTCTCTTTTTCTTTGGAAAAGTGTTAAAACCACTGTAATGGATGCATCACACCATCCTCCTCCTTTTTTTTTTTACTCCCCCCTCTCCCACACATTGAAGCCCTCAAAACAAACAGCCAGTGCTCCACCCACTGTAACAACTTCAGAGGAATGGTCAGCATGTGTGGAGGTTTGTGGTAAAGATCACTCTCCTTAAAGATTAGGGATTTCACGTTGTATCTGGAGAATTGCTCAACTCCAATTGATGGGGAACGTGTTCCAGAAACCCTCTGCAGCCTCTCGTGCTGTGCCGAGATGTGGGAAAGCTGGTCATTTCTCTGGGCTGAAGCCAGGTCACACCCAGATACTCAGGACTGACATGAAGCTAGTCCCTGCAGAGCAGAGTCTGTGCAAAGGAGACCAAAAGGGTCAGGATTGTTGTCCATCCTGTGCCGGATGAACCGTGCAGACAGAAATCCCCTTTTTTGGGATTTTGTAGAGGTCTTGCTGCAGCTCGAGTAAGGCTTGTCAGGTTGAGGAATCTGCAGGACTGTTTGTGAAAAGTCACACTTGGGCCTTCACACGTAGTCGATGGGTTTTCACAGTCTTGGCTATGCACTTGTATGGGTTTGTCTTCCGGTTGGAAGGCCATTCACGTTCAGTAAAAACCTGCAGATCCTGTTGAAAAGCCGTCCGGGCCCTACAGGGGTTTAGATGTTGGCCCAAAGCAGGACTCTGAATGTAGCTGATGTTCAAGGAGCTCAGAGTTTTATCGTTTTCTCCGCTTCCTCCTCTGGCATTGACTCTTTAAGCGAGATGGTACCCGAGCGCTGACAAACCCACATCAGTTGGGAGCTGACTTGGCAAACCATATGGTAAATGGACTGTACTTCAATATAGGGATGCACCGATCCACTTTTTTTTACTCCCGATACCTAAATCTAAATATCGGCCAATACGATCCAGTTCCGATCACTGCACCACCTGGTGGTGGATGGGTTAAATGCAGAGACTAATTTCGCCATTGTATGGAAACATACAGTGCTGACATTGTGATGACATTATTATTATTATTATTATATCATCATCATTTTTATATGAGGCTGTAATAATCTCCTCTCAAGTACAGTTTGTACAAATATATGCATGTATGCCCAAAAAGGCAACTTGAGGTAAGTTTTATTAATGTTGGATAAGTTTTAAAGTTAGAATTAAATTCTGCTAACACAAAAAACACGTTTGTTTTTTCCTAGCTTTAAAGTGGATATTAAAGTGATTAATTTAAGTGATTGTTTAAAGTTATTTTTATTTATTTTTTTTTAATAAGGGGCAGATATAAGATTTTCCATCTTAATGCACTCTTTTCATTCAATGTTTTCTTTTTGATGAATTTGTTTTGTTTCTTTTAAATGAATGAATAAATGAATTAAATAAAATGTTAAATGGCTTTAAACATCTGCTAAGTTCATGACATAAACCAACAGTAATTTGTAATTTTCAAATCAAGTTTTTTTTATGATTGTCTACTGTTGTACTGATAAATATCTCCTGGAGGGAAAACTGTATCTTGGCTGCAAGTATCAAGCTGTGAAATCCTTCGTTTTCTACAGCTGATAGTGGTTGGTCATTAGTTACGATGAAGTTTAGCAACTTCTCGGTAAACATTCGAGCTCCGGGCCTTCAACGATGTCTTCTTCTTGTTCTATCCGCAGCAAGCAGTCTGTTCTCAGTCAGCCGCGCTCAGTCTGCCCCTCCTCAGAGACGGACAGACAGAGCGGGTCAGACTGCGCGTGGATGAACGAAATCGGACTGCCTTCTCCGGACTGAACAAAAATAACAGCACGCTGAAGCCCCGGAGCTCGAATGTCCATCGTAAAACTAACTTTACCGGGGTTTAATGTGGCGCTATGGCTCTGCAGACATTGCACGATGCTGTCTTGATTTGTAGTGTTTCTAGTTTAAAATACTTCCACACAGCGGACATGTTTAGATGAAAAGTGTGTTAGCTGTTAGCCACAGTGCTGCTAACTCAGTGCTCACGTTGTAGCTGCCTGCAAACTATGAAATGGATTTCCTGAATGTGAGGCGGGTCCTCGATACCTCGTTCTTGTCGAGCTCCAAAATTCACGGTTGAAACCCGTGCCTTTGTGTAAAAATTGTTTTTCTCTGCAAAAAGAAGCTGAGAACTTTTTTACAGATTAAAAAAATATATATAATAATAATTTTTTAATGAAAAGCTTTGTGTGAAAAATGGCTATGCTAAAGAGCTCAAACCACACCGAGGGTCTACCATGTAACCGTGTCATCATGTCAAGGGGCCTCCTTCCCATTTTTCTTAAAGAGACATGCTGCTTAACTATCCAGCCTTTGGTTCAAACTGTCTTATACTGCCATCCGGTGGTCAAAAAAAGGTACTACACTCAAAACAATCAGCATTTCTTATAAAATTTGACAATTACTAATTATTGTTAAATTTCAAACAATATTATCGTTTATCGCAATAATTTCTGAGACAATCGCCCAGCAAAATTTGTTATCGTGACTGGCCTGGTTCAGTGTCTTGCCCAGGGACAATTCGGCAAGTGACTGCTGGTGGAATTGAACCCCCAACTCTTGCATTGGAGGATGAATGCTCTAACCACTTAGCCACAGCCGTCCAAAGGAGCCTCTAAGGTGATAATAAGACCCGACTGTGTCCTTCTGCCGGGATCCAAGGTCGTCAGAAGTGGCCTCTGCAGCATTTCTCAGGAGAGCTTATCTGAAGTGGCTGTCTTTTGGATGAAAACATGTTATGTAACGAGCTCTTCTCCTGAAAGAATAATCACCACCCCCCCTCATTTTTTTTTCTTCTTTCCACTTGTTTTTGAAAGAAAAGTTTAGGAAAAAGATGAACTGTGACTTTTGTAATGAAAACAGATCTGCTACGAGAGCAGAATGTTTTTGTCTTGAGAAACGGTTTGATAATCTAATCTTAATATTTCATCTGTGGAGCAGCACAGACACACGTTGGAGTTTAATCTGCTCTGAGGCCAGATTAAGATGAAGTGTTTGTCATGGAAATATTTAGCTGTAAAAACAACCAATTAATACCTACATATGGCAGGATGGGAATATATTAACTGTTTTGCACCTTTGCTGCACTGAACAAGCAGGCGTTTTTATTGAAGGAAAATACTTCAGTTTTGTTTCTTTTTAAATTCCGTTAACCCTTCAGTGGGTTCGGTTTTCCTGCGCTTGGATTGAAGTCATTTTTAATGTTATTTAACGTTACAGTCATCTTTTCTTTTAGGCTAAGATTAACTTCTTTATTTAAAAAAACTGCATGAACATCTGCAGTGGCAAACATCTGGAGGGACATTTCATTGCCATTTGTTTTTTTTTTTTTTTAGCTGAAGAGCTAGTCCAGTGGTCTTTTTACCCTTTTTTTTTATAGACTTGTCCTCATCACTTTCTATACGCCCGTCAAAAGACGGACATATTATGGTACAGTCTCCATCCTTACATCTGTAAACTTTCTCTTGTCTTGCCCATAACTCTTGATTCACTCAAGACGATTTAACAAAACGATACACGTATGCATCGTAACTGGTGGAGTGTCGTGTGCACTTCAATCATTCCAGCTTCAAGGTCAAAGGTTATACTAGATATAACCTTTGACCTTGTCCCGGCCATTGCTCAGATTGCTGTATGATAGTTTCAGTGGGTGTTTAATGTGCTGTATGTGGTACTCTACTTAAAGTACTTTTCGTAGTTTTTCTGTGGTGTAACACCTGAAAAGACAGATGACGCCATGTCTACAGTGTCACTCCATCACGCTGATCAGCAGGTGATGGTTGCCATCATGAGACTTCCTTGTATAAAAACTCCACCACTGCCCTGCTCTGATCATAAGTTTTTATGCTTGTTTTAACCCACATATTAAACTGGCTTCTGTTACAAGAGCTATGTAGTGATGTGCTTCTCCAATGAACATATTTTTACACATTTACAATCCATGTGTAAGCTGTTGGGACAAACAGACGATGATGTGATCTTCTGAAGAGGTTGCAGAAACCCTCTCATACTCTGTATCACCGGTACAAACACCTGCATCTTACACAAAGGTAGACAAATTGATCAGTCAGCCTATTAATTAGGTGGATTTTTTTAATAAGAAGCATCAGCCAAGCCTGAGCATACTCTGCCAATTAAAAGGCAGACATATCTGTGGGATGAACAGAGAGGTCACGCTTGACACTTCATCCTTGTGTACAACAAAGGTCACTGTTACAGCTGATGTGATATTTATTTTTCTTTGAATAACCTTGACAGACACCAAAATAAATTGACCAGAATAATATACCAATTTTTCACATTTTGTTTTTTCTGGCATTTTATTATTAAACTGTTTAAAAACTCAAACCACAATATTTCCTGGTTTCTGAGGGTTGCCACTGGCATCAACCATTGACTAAACTCTTATAGTTTACCTCTAGTCACTCCCGCTCTTAGTTCCATTTTTGAAAGTGGAAGCAGAAATTCTAATTACTGGTAGTGCCATCAAAGTTCATGCTCAATAATCCAGGTAGAAAATCCATCAAAGTTCAGTCAGGTCATCTGGACCGTTTCTCTCTTTTTTTTTCTTTTTTTTTGAGAAGTTTTG